AAAAGTGCCATCAGAGTCGCTGCTCAAGTAAGCCTGATGCCTGAATCTAGGGCCATGTGCAAGCATCCGAATCCAAGTATTCCCAGTCGTTTTTCCAATAGTGTTCTTTGCTCCACTCTATCCTGCATTCCACTATTTTCACCTTAAACATTTTCTTCTCCTGCATGACCTCTTCAAGAAAGGTTTCCGACTTTCATACTAAAGAACATTTTTCCTTTCATATCTTTACAAAAATATCCTAGGCTTTATATTATCACAAGGCCTAATTACCTATTCATAATAACACCCTCTTACCAAATTCTGTGTCAAACTGTGTGATAAGCCCATCAGGGAAATACTGGACTAAACTTTATATCAGCAGTTGTTTCTAGTAATAAGACATTTATTATTTGAGCCATTAAGATAGTGATATATATGAATATATATATATATATATATATATATATATATATATATATATATATATATATATATATATATATATATATATATATATATAATGTATATATACATATATAATGTATATATACATAACATATATAATGTATATATACATATATAATGTATATATACATATATAATGTATATATACATATATAATGTATATATACATATATAATGTATATATACGTATATATACATATATATACGTATATATACATATATATACGTATATATACATATATATACGTATATATACATATATATACGTATATATACATATATATACGTATATGTACGTATATATACGTACATATACGTATATATACATATATATATGTATATATACACATATGTATGTATGTATGTATGTATGTATGTATGTATATATATATATATATATATATATATATATATATATATATATATATATATATATATATATATATATATATATATATATATAAAATCAAACATGTGATATACATTCCTTAAAAAATAAATAAATATACAAAATAATAGTGAAGTATATTTAATATGATAAAGAATAAAAAATAATAATGAAGGAAAAAACAATAATAATAAAAAAATAAACAAATAGCAAAATAAAAAAATAAAACAAAAATCTAAAACTGGCCTTACTAAAACGAAGACTATAAACGGGTAAACATTAGGTACCAGCTGCTGCTGCTTTTTTTCCCCTTTTCCTTTTCCTTTACAGCCATGATATGTAACTATCTGATCTTTCTAAGCCTCTGTATGTGTGCGTGTGCTTGTATGTGTGAGCACGCGCGTGTGTGTGAGAAAGAAAAAAAAAAAAAGATTGTTTATGCCCATCATCCTTAGCTTGTATTTTTACTTACAGCAGGACTAAGTCTTGCCCTAGAGAACCCATAGATATGGTACCAATCCAACCATTTGATAGTCACACTGCTACTATGAGAACCGTCAGTCCAGTCCTTTGAATCTACAGGGCAAAACAAAAGCAGGACAAATGGAACTGTCATCTCTTTGTCATTTTCTACTTTAACATGAGAGTGAATAGCCTTCCAGTTAAATGCTTAAATTTTGATTTTCATTGCCTGTTTGTTTGTCAATTGAAGCTTTATTTTTCAGTTTGTGTCTGTATGTCATACAGACATAGATATATATATCTAACTTTCAATATTTATAGGTATATCTTAACCCAATGGCAATTGAATTTCTGCATACTGAACTGAGCTACAAACCGTGGATCGAGCAGTCTGCCATTCAAGTGAAAAATCAGAAGGACGGGGAGCACATATTCACCATACTCTGTAGACATTTGGCTGCAGTAAACACAATTATCCAAACATTTAAGGGGCTTTAACTCATGACCTATTGTGCCCAGAACATCAAGTAAACAACTGTTTGGTCACACAACTTTGAGATGACTGATAGTCTATGGTGTGTATCCTTACCAACCATCATTTGGCTTTGGCTTGTTGTAGCAAGAATCGATGCTCAGTATCAATAATGGGTTATGAGCGTGGGAATTCACTACATCAAGCCGCTTGAAGTGCTCTGGCACACCGCCGCTGCGTACAGTCGTACTCAGCAGACCAAGCAGTTTGTTATGAAGCCGCTAGTCATGGCCTGGCAGTATCGGGTTAAATCTATGGATGGATGGGTGCCCAATCAGCTCAGTCCAGTATGCAAATTCCACAAGAAACAAATGGAAGGATGGACAAAATCCATGAGTAGATTCAGTAAACTTATGGGCATTGTAACTGCATTTTTATCTATTCTGTTACAGAATTTGTATCACATAACAGGGGTATGTGTGAGCATGACCAAACCTTGGGTAGTTTTCATTCTGGTCTCAAAATACCTTTGGTGGATGGGAGGCTCTTCCCAACACCAGCTGCCATCTAACCCGGTGCCTTAAATGATATATCTCAAGTTTGATTTTCTGCAATACTGTGATGGCAGCTCATACCAACTGTGTACTCCAAGAACCCTATACAACTGTGAGTGCGGAAGGTGACACTGGACTTCTAGCCTTTAGTCCTGAACTGGACAATGGTTGATGATGGGAAGAATAAAGAATACTTAATTCTTTTGCTTGCCAGAAAACTGATCTCAATATATGGCTGCATCTTCACTGATATTTTTCTCTAGTAAATTGCTAATCAGGTTATACAATAATATGAAGAAACAGAGCAAAGGGGTCATGGTTAATGGATAAAAAAGAAGTTATAAGAAAGAATGTGAAAAGAAAAGGAAAGAAAAGAAAAAAAGAGAAAGAAAAACAAATTTCTCCTGAACAGTATTCACACATTACCAATCTTAATGTGGCAGTGACCTTACAATATTATAGAGATAAAAATCTGTCCTTTCACAGAAAAATGCTGGTACCATTACAAATAAGAATTGATTTTAAAAAATAAATAAAAACAAAAACAAAAAGAGGCCAGGCTGCCAATAAGTTACCAACTAAACATCAAAACAAATAAAAGACGTAAACTCACCCACCTTCTTCCAATTCGCCCTCTAGAATGGGAAAATTCCAATAATTACAACCCTTGAATTATGGACTAACTTAAGTGTTACTATTACTAAATTATTCTACACTTTCAATACTCAATACCCCATTTCTCTTTTTGCTCTTTATACACCAACACCACTAACTATTGCAAGACAGTATCACACAGAGAACAGTACAAATCATTCCCTTCAAAAGATAAGGCTTGTGTAAAGTCAACTACAAATATCAAGGATTCTCATAGGGAGAAGAGCCAATTGCAAAACAAATATTATAATACTTTTTTACCAATGATGAAAAGATCCCAGCTAGAAGCTCCTTAAAAAACACATAAAAAACAAGCATGTATAATAGTCTGACACATCTGTATTATGAATAAATATTGGAATGAAGAGCATCCTGAACCTAGACCACACAGTTGCTCTATGTATTGTATAGTTCAGTCTGAATAAGATACACAGAATTATTAAATGACATGGGAGGGGAAAGAAAAAGAAAGAAAAAAAAATTACAATTAAGGGTTTCCAGTCATCTTTTGAAGAAGAAGAAGACGAAGAAGAAAAAGAAGAAGAAGAAGAAGAAGAAAAAGAATACATTCCATGTCCTTGAGAAAGAATGCACTTCACCATGCAGTCACAGATTAATGACAACATTAATTAACCCCTATGATCTGGATGACATAGCCATCCTGTTATGAAAAAGTTTGGCTTGACAAGCAACTGATGTGAGCATGCCATCATGGAAAAATTTGGCTGTGGAATGGGGTGACACAAACATGCTGTTAAGAGCATTTTGGCTAAAGGGAAAGAATGCATTATTTCCATCGATAAACGAGTGTGGAATGCAATGTCTGTTAGCCATGACTGGAAGAATGCTGGCTCCAGGGAGCATGCCATTTCTATGCTCAGCATCCTATTCATGGCAACCATAAAGGGTGGCACAGGTCATATTACAGAAAATTGAATATCAAGAAAAGAAAAGAAAAGAAAAGAAAAGAAAAGAAAAGAAAAGACAAAAAATTGTCAATTGAATAGTTCTCAATATCATAAAGAAAATACATCACTATCCCAAGTGAATTCTACTGATACTGGAATTCCTAAAACTTTAAAAACAAAAATTTACTTTTGAGATACGAATGTTCAAGCATTTCTATGATCACATTACATGTATTTCTTTATTAATATGCATCATACCACTCTTCATGTTACTCTTCAGCCCTAAGTGATACTAAGGAGTGCTAATTAGAGACAGGAAGAGGAAAAGCCATAAGCAAGGGAGAGGCTAAAGGGGCCACTGGAGGTGGTCTCCTATTTTTTTTTTCTTTGACACGCAACTTCGCTTGACTTTCCTAATGCTTTTAACCCTTTGGTGATGGTTTAAGAAAACTAAGAAAAAAAAAAAAAAAAAAAAAAAACTACACTCTGGCGAACAATGGCAGTGCACCGACTTTGAGCGTGGGAGTTTGGTACATTAAGCCGAATCACTGGCTTGCCGCTGCGGCGTACAGCCGCACACCACACTTTGAGCGGTTTGTTTATACGCCTCTAGGCGTGACCCGTCAGGAAGGGGTTAATTACTGTATAACACTAAATGAAGACAAATCACAAAAAATACTCAAAAAAACAAATGCAGCTGATATAGGCCTTGGGTATGTTCCTATGTCTACCAGTTTCAATTTACATTTACTTTTTTTAATTTTCATTTTTTATTATCACTATTTTAATGCAGACAGTGAGCTTTAGTAAAATTCAAGTCAAATATACAATGTTATGAAAAACTGATTTCCTAATGCAAATGATGACCATGCTTCCCTAGGACAGGAAGAGAAGTTGAAAGAGAAAGGATAAATGAGATGAGAAAACTGGAAAGGAAAAACATGAAAAGCAAGAACAAAGAAAGGAAAGGAAAGAAAGATAAAGGAGTGAGAGCGAAAGGATGATAATAAAAAAAAAATGGAAATGGGAAGTTATGAGAGAGAATGAGAGAGAAAATAGAAAAAAAGTCTCTTGAAGATAGTCTCAGAATTCTAAAGACAACAATGCAAAACTGCATT